CGAAAAACAGATGAAATCAGCGTCAGCGAAAACAAAACCAACCGTTCGCGGGCAGAGCCTACTGCGTTTTCCACTTCGGTAGCAGGGATTTGTACCTCTTGGAAAATCCGACGTGGTCAGGTTCAAAAATCGCGAAATCGTTGAAATTGGGTCAAACGTTTCCGTGAGTGGCATACTATCGATCGGCAGGATCATAGCAAGCGTCGTAGTGGAACTAATTATCGGAAGCTGCATCTAATGATCGGGCTGTCGGATTATGATATCGCCAAGAAATGCAATGCCAACCAAAGCACCGTCAGAAAGATTGGTCAGCGAGAAGGATTTCAATCTTTTCGGGTCAGTTAGCAACCAAACAGGACACTGAAGCAGAATATAATGGCCAAAATACGTGGCCGGAAGTTGTACATTGAGATTCTTACAAAGTACGAGGGATGCATCCTCAAGGACGACGAAATGAACGTGAAGATGGATTATGGGCAGCTTCCCGGACAAAAGTTCTATAAAGCCACTGATCGAGGTGATGTCCCTAGCAAGGTATTTGCAGCTGCGGACGAAAAGCCCAGGTTTTCGTGACAAATAAGACTATGGATTCCAAAATGTACACGCAGGATTGCCTGAAAAAAACGTATTCTTCCGTACATTAAGGCTCGCAATGGACCTGTAAAGTTTTGGCCTGATTTGGCAAGCTGCCACTACAGCGGAGAAGTTCTACAGTAGTATCGAGACAACGGGGTAGATTTCTTCGAAAAGGACATCAATCCACCCAACTGCCTTGAATTCCGCTCAATTGAGAAATATTGGGCAATTGTCAAACAGAAGTTGAAGAAGAGTGAAAAGGTGACTCGGGATGCGACAGAGATGAAGAGATGATCGAACTAAACGGCCACTCAGGTTACCCAACAAATAATCATCTATTGAAGAAACGACTTGTTGGCCATTTTGTTCAACTGAATGCTTAATAGTACTTGTGCTATTTTTAATAATAACTTCTGTTCAGGCTTTCTTCACACAAATCTGGAGAATTTATTCAACCACAACATTGAAATACTGGTGTTGTATAAGGTATGTCGAGAAGATTTTATTCGGCTTATATGAGTTGTTGTAACAGAGTTTATGCGATTATTTTTTTGATTATTCAGTGTTTATTAGACATCATTGCTTCCTTAAACCAGTGATGATCTCTGTATACGCTTGATTATCATGTGAATAACGTTTAATTAGACATCATTATACATTTATTAAACGATTATTCAACTGTGGGAAAATTAACCCGAAAATAGAGGGACGGGGACAGGGAAGGGTGTGTTTCTTAAGTGTATTGTATTTCATTTTTTCTGACGTAGCTCGCACCACACAGATATTAGAAAATTTATTAAATACTTATACATGTCGTTGTATGGGATTCGAACCATGTACCTTCCGAGATCACCAGCCGCTTGCCATGCCATCTGCGCTATCCTAGAATGCATCATATGAGCAACTCAATAATCAATAAAAGCTTGCATGAAAGTAAATACCTATCAGCACTCCCGATCGCAACTCTAGCTCCTTCAAGGCCCTGTGGGAATTATAAATTCATTCATCGTTGTTTTACATGAAACCAATGTTGCCCCTTCACATCTTCAAGTCGAAAGAGAGGATGCTCGGTTATATTTTAAACTAGATTAATGCATTCATTATCGTGAGTCATGTGATCGATGATAACTATTTAAATTAATTATATTCTACACAAATAAAAAAAAGGGTTGAGCTTGGGATTGAACTCACGACCTTCTAATTGGAAAGCGGAAACGATAACCACTACTTTACTGATTTCGCCTTGTTGTAAGACTGAATCAGTGTTGTCGAATAATGAATCTACGCAGTGGTATAAGAGCTATTATGCTGGCTGTATTCACTTTTATTCAGCAATATTCTAAAGTAATGCAATCTAATCTAATAATGGAGCTAGAGAACATTTATTAGACGTCTAATAAAGCATGTTATTAAATCAATTGAAAACAGTCAAATTAAAGTGTGAATGTATGTACATATTACACTTATTCAGTTTGTTATTAGATCGAATTTCTGCCGTTAAATTGAGAAGACATTTAACACTTTTACAGCTTTTAATAAGTAAATTAATGAGATCAGAGCAAACAGTTGAATAAATGTGCATCTATCGATCTCAATGAGCTTTTTCAGCACATAATTCTAAAACTCTTTTTATTCAGCATTGTACACTGTTATACAGCATTTATTCAATATATATGCTTATATGTGACTCTGAATTGTTTGTTGGGTGGTATAAGAGCTATTTTGCTGAGTGTTTTCACCTTTATACAGCAATATTGTAAAGCAATGCAATGAAATCTAATAATGGAGCTAGAAAACATTTATAAGACGTTTAATAAAGCGTTTTATTCAATCAATTGAAAACAGTCGAATTAAAGCGATAATGTATGTGCAAATTACACTTATTCAGTTTGTTATTAGATCAAACTTCTGGTTCTGAATAAGGAAGATAGTCAACGTTTATAAAGCTTTTAATAAGGAAATTAATCATATCATAGCAAACGGTGGAATAAAGGCGCATCTATCGATCTCAATAAGCTTTTTTCAGCACATAATTCAACATCCTGTTTTATTCAGCATTGTACACTGTTATACAGCATTTATTCAATGTGTATGCTTATTTGTGACTTTGAATTGTTTGTTGGGTACCCAACAAAGAATTTGAGTTGATTAATAGTCGAATAAGCTATTTTTTAGCTGAAGAAGCATATTTTTGCCTAAATAAGCTCTTATTCAGCATTCAATGTTTGTTGGGTAGTCTCTGTTGTCCAAAATATGATGTGTGGTATTTGAAGAAAAATTCGAGATTTCATCAAAACCAAATCGGAATAATGTTTTCGCTATTTGTCATTTGAGTGTAATAAATGACCTTCATTTCGAGAAATAAATATTTGTATTTCTTTAAAATGGTTCTGAGATACATCCGCAAAATTTTGGTTCGCTACCTCATTTCTTGATAGAGCTGTAATTAGGACGTCGCAGCCTTTATAAACAATGACTTTTCAAGTTGATTTCTAGGAATTCAGGGCACGCCTACACAAACTAACATATCCATCGGGTTGGGGAAGTCTTCCTCTACTCGATGATGATTTAGATTTGCCAGCGAGAGCCATGACATTCGTGAAATCATCGAGAGAAGTCATTGTTTACAAAAGCTTTTCGCTCTATCTAGATTTATGTTTCATTTTCTCCTCTAAAAAACTGTTTGTCGTTTATGTCAACCAATCAAAACATAGGTCAGGGTAACGGGTCATTCGGGGAAATGGAATTCGTGGTAATGTCATTTGGGGTAATGGTTTATTCGGGGCTATGTCAGAGTCGTTTGAAATGACTATAATAGAAAAAAGCTCGAATATGAAGAAAATCGATAAAATATTTACTAAGTTCCCTGCACTCAATTCGGTATCGCATCCGTTTTTGTTCTCAAATTGCAACCAAATTAAATGCACCTATTTCCAAAAATTCACAATAAAATCAAAAATAAAATAAAATAAAATTGCGTAAAAACAGACTAAATAAAATTATCATCGAGAATTTTTTTGAGAAAAATCGAGGAAGATTTTACTCATTCACTGAATAACCCCACTTTTTGCAAAATTAAGTCAAATTTGACTGAATTTTTAGTTACTCTCATCGGCCATGCAGTATGTTGAAAAAAAAAAAATGAAACCTCTGCAACCCTTGTTCCACGACTCAACAACATTTAAAGTACCATCGTATCGAACGCAGAAGTATGACATTATGCTGACGCAGTTCTTCCCTCCCGGGCAAGCCTTTCCTTTCGTTCGTCATTCATTGTGTATGGCTATCGGTGCCAACGCGTTTGAAACGCTGTCAATCAAATGCCACTGTCTGGTCCTATACCTCTCCATCGCACATGAACAAACTCATCACTGTGCATAGATGGTTTGAAGATCTACACACACGTTATTGTTGCTGTTGTTATTGCCATTGCCATTTGCTGCACACACAGCTAACAATACCCTAACAAGGACGTGTTGACGGTGGCGGTTGCAAAAAAAAATGTATGCTTACATTGTTCCATCAGTGCGTGAGTGCCCGATAATGGAGTGATGAACATTCGTTTTAGGTGATACGTGTTCTAGAATAAAGAATTATTACAGAAAAAAAACGACATAAAATTTACACCACACCAAACACAATTTAATAAATCAATTGTCATCTGCTGCCGCGAGCACAACTTCCTCTCTCAACGCAACACCTTCGAACCGACGGTTTGTTCACATCGCACACAAACACACGCACGTTCTGATGCACAGCGAGAATGCAATGCAAGTCACCAAGTTCCCTTTTCTATCATGCTCTTCGCCGTTTCTACATTGTTCTCTCGGAAAACTCCGAGAGAATGATGGCACAAAGCGAAGAGCGTGAAACACGAACCGGTCCCGGGATGGTGATTCGCTCACGCCCCATTGTTTGTGATTTATGCCACGCCCACCGGCTCTTGAGTGTAGTCGTGCGCTTATGCTTTGCACTCTATTCTTCATTGCGCTTACTCTGCACATTATGTTCACATGTGTATACACAAATTGCGAGTGCACTCACACAAAGAGGCTCATTCGCATGTTATAGCGTGCAGCTCGTCGGTTCACTTCCTCTTTCGGTGAGCTTCTCACACCATGTTCACATCGTGCAGCGGAGCGAGTGGCAGAGGGCCTTGCGCGCACGTTCTGCATTCTCGGTCCTATGTAGCGGTAGAAGCTGCTGATGATGCTACGGTTGCCTTCATGATGAAGTGCGCGTATTCTGCATTGAGTAGGTACGTTGAAGGTACTTGCCGAGGCCTCTCGGGCTAGCGGCCTTAGCGCAGTAGCTCGGTGGCAGTGCTGCGCCACTACTTGGTGTGGGTGCCGCAACCGGTGCAAGTGTGTGTTGCACAGCCGTACCTCTACATGGGGCCAGCTTCAGTCGGTCCAAGACCGTTGTCGTGGTTGCGCGCTTTTATGTTGGAAAGTTCGGTTTTTACCCACTGCACACTGCACTGCATTGTCGTGGTCGTTGTCGTTGTTGTTGTTCTTGTTGTTGTTGTTGCCGTATTGTTACACCGACCCAACCGAAGACAACAAAAAAAAAAAACGTCCAAACGGGATTTGAGCACTGCTAGTAGGAATCCAAAACAAAAACAAAAGCTAGGCTAGGTTCCCTCAGTTCAGCGACGGCGGTGACGGTCGCGTGGAGCCTTATCCTTTCTCGGACTAGTACAGGATTAGAGGGAATGTTTCGTGCAAAACCCTAGACGCTAGGCCCTTCCATAACTGAATTCATACGAGTGATCTACATAAGGGAATCGCACTCCCAAAAACGGTAGAGACGGTTGACGCGACGGGAGTCTCGGTCCGTGCGACGGTAACCATAAGGTCTGATCGAACACCCAGATATACCCTGCGATTGGATGCCTCACTCCTCGCTCCCCGCCAATGCATAGCTTGGCACGGATCGATAGCCAGAATTGATTAGTGACAAGTGTAGTGACAGCATTAATAATTCGAGGGGTTCAGTGAGACTGGGCGAAGATCCGCCTGTGAAGATATTCGATTACGCCAGGAGCTTTGAAAGCAAAGCGAAGATTCTTGTTGGTTGATACCTCGGTTTTGATTTCGTTTCGGGGGTTGTTATTATCGTTGTTTGATTGGTCCGTAACACAGTCAGTCGGAATCGGAAGAAGATATTTTTTTTTCTTGATTTGACGGAGTAGCGGCCTCCCTCCTTCTCCGGCACCTGATGCTCTCGGAGAAGGCGTGTGTCAGCGAGTCATCGAACTGCTCTGTGCATACATGTGTGTGTGTATGTGTGTGCGTGTACCGGCTTACAGCTAGCAACCTAGAGCTGCGGAATTGCTGCACGGCTTTTGGTGAACCGAAGAGGTAATGACAGTTATTTCGAAGCCCACAGGATCTCTATCGCTTTATCGTAGCGATCTTTACGATGTAATTAAGACCCGCTTGGGCGGCCAAAATATTCTTCGCTCTTTGCGCGCGGGTACCCCTGGTGTACACCACGTCTGTATGTTGGTGTGTTTAGGTTCACACAATGATCGTCGGCGGGTCTCGCACCTGGATTTTGCTCGATTGGCACCGCCAGGCAATAGAGATAGAATTAAGCTATTACGATTTCGGGATCGTTATCGGACACAATGTTTACTCTTATCGCGAACGCCGTCGCCGATGAAGGCACTCCGATTCTGGTGGTAGTTAGCCAATGGGCAATAAATTAGAAGACAACAAAAAGTACTGTACAGACAGCACAGTAATAGACGGGAATTTTCGGGAAGTTTAGTCGTTCGGTTAATAACTGTTCGGAATTTTACAACCATTTACTGCTATCGATGCGATTGGGGTATTTTCGCTGTGGATCAAGATCGGTATCGCGCATTTTTAGCTGGAACAAAACTCTGTGAGTGCCATAAAACTTCGGTGGCTCGATGGATTGATTGGATGGAATGGTTATCAGTCCAGGATGGCTATCGCCTCCGACGGGAGGTGTCCTCCGTCGAGACACAATGGTGTTGATAATGATGTTGTCTTTTTACGATCGCGATCAATCTATTAAACAATAAGCGTTTGTTGGGGTATTCGCGGAAAGATTAGAATCGTCCTTCCAGTGTGGACCAACTGTTGCGTGGCATTGTGTGATGATTGTACACTGAGATTATTAGACTGGAGTAGGTTTTTCAATTGCGTCAAATGCAGAGTGTCCATCCAACCGGGAAATCCGGGAAAAAACTGGGATTTGGGATTTACCGGGAAAAATGCGGGAAAACCCAAATTGCACCGGGAAAGGTCATATATGTATACTCATCCCAAGTAACAATTTTGATTTTATATTATTAGTCTTGTAGGCCATAATTTGATCTTGAAGAATCCTTTAAACCTTTAAATTTATAATGTTACTTGGAATCAATCAATTTTATAACACATTATAACAAAATTCTTTTGCTTACAACTTTCATATTATTCTTTTCTCAAAATTACATTTTTTTTTTGTGCCCGGATCAAGCGGTGATTTTGTCGTTGTTCCTACAACGATAGCTAAATTTATAGAATTTAATATGGTGTAATTGGAATGCATATGGTGTCATATGGTGTCATTGCTTGAATTCTTGTGCTACAGTTTTCATAGTGAAGTAGTTCTAGTATAAAGGCTGTTACGAAGCTACTTCAAGATAGAGAAGCAGATTCATGCCGTCTCAAACTCCTTGCAAACTCCGATCATGCTATGCAAATGTTCGACGCCGGACATAGAGATGAATTAAACATTAATTTCTGCACTTTGTGCTAACCAGATACCAAGATTAGGACATCTTTGAATACCGTGGTTAGTCTGGTAAACATAAGGATCTTAATCCATACCTCTTACTTCAAAATCATGAGTTCAAATCTCACCCGGATAAAGCACGAATGATCCGAGAGTGTAAAAATTAGGCCGGAACAAATATCAAGTTTTTCTTTTGTCAACCCCCCCCCCCTCCCTTCAAAAGTTTGGAATATCACCAAGGGGGAAATAAAATAAAACTTTCAGTGTTTATATATTTTTCGCAAATTCATTTGGGTATCGATACTCGCTTTGCTAGATTTAATTATGTTATTGTTGTTGTTTTTGTTGTTGTTGTATCACCTTGTTCTTTTAAATAATTTTCACATAAATTGGTACTTGACCAGTACGGCATGACAGGTCCTTGAAATCTGATCAGCCGGTTTCATTTGTTGAAAATGGATTTTATCGAACATCATTCTTAATCTTGTTTAGCAACTCACTAGGTAGGGTAGAGAACTGCTTCGGCCTAATCGCCCATTTTGGGCCTATCGAGCAGAAACCTTGAAATAAATCCATGATTTCAGAGTTAACAAGTCAATTATGCGTTTGGTACGATACTTTAGTTAATAAGCTACAGAACGAAGTCAATGAGAACGCGTGATATGAAGGTTTGCACCCATTATTCCCAAAAACAAAAGGAGCGCTCCAACCTAATCAATTTTTATCTTCATCCGATAGGCCGAAGTGCGTTAGGCCGAATTTAAAATCTATAGGCCAAGCTTGGCGTCAAGAAGCACCGTTAGACTTTTGACAATATCTCAACGATTGGCTTCTCTTTATCAAATATTACGGTACGTACGGAAAGGTAAATAAATTTGGAAGCCATCAGTAATAATAATATTCCGTTTGGTGCTAAACTGCGCTAGATTAAGAAAGACTAAGTGCGGGTTGTGCTTAATAGGCCGAAAATGGGGTAGTTAACCCTAAGCCACCTTCAATCTGATCGATCCCTCTTGTTCGTTGCGCACATCTTCGTCTTGTCCCAATCGGATCACTACAAAGAACCATTTTCAGTGGGTCGTTATCCGACATTATTACGATGTGCACAGCCCACCGTAGTCGCCAGATTTTTGCATTAGATCTACATTTCTTAACTTACAAACCTTCTGCAATGATATTTAATGATTCGCTTCTTTTCTACAGTGATTCAACAATTTTCGAGCTAAATCCAATCTTTTAAAAATTGGAATAAAATTTTTAGAAGAGAGACTAAATTAGAAACGATTCAGAAAAATCCTAACTGAGGTAACACTTTTCAAAGCAAATTCAAAACTGAGTCTGAACTTTTTTGAAGTGAGTTCAAACTTTCGAATAAGTCATCAATATTTTTCTAACTGAGTCTAAACTTTTCTGTTATGTTATTCAATCCTTTTTAATGTTGTCAAAACTTTCCTGACATGATTCAACATATTCCAAATCCAATCTTTAAATAATTCGTTTCGCATTTTCTTCAGTGAGGCAACATTAGCTGATTAATCCTTTTCCTAAATGAATCCAAGGTTTCCTGCATTGATTCAACTTTTTCCGAACTGAAACCAAACAAGTCAGAACGGGTTTGATATTTTCCTAAGCTAGCTCCAGATTTTTGTTAACTGCTTTGGCATTTGGCAAGGACACAATCTTGCTTAGTGAAAGTGTAGAATGTTTTCCGAAGTGAACCGACAATTTTTTGAGCTTAAATTTTTCAAATGGTGTCCAACCTTTTCTGAAGTGGTTCAAAACCTTCCTTAGGGAGTCCAAACTTTTCTGTTGAGTGATTGAATTATATTGAATGTTAGTCTGAGCTTTCCTGAAGTGATTTACCTAACTTTTAACGTAGATTCCACTCCCTTAGATCTCTTCCTCGTTCTTGTGAGATTTTGAAGAATGGACCTTCATGTGTTCATACCTGATGGTAGATTTATTTTAAAGCAAGTACAATTGTTGAGAAATCTGGGTTTACATCCACAAAAGTACGCATTTTTATAGAAATTTGGGTTTCTTGGGCTCCGTCCTTTGAAAAACAGGCTTGGATGTTATGGAATAGACCTTTGTGAGTTCATAAGTTTTGAAGCCAGGTTGGATTTCGGTTCAATCTTTTGAAAATTGTGCTTGTAGAATGGAACATGCTGAATACCGGAAGGGCGAACCTGGTTAATATTCACAAAAGAAGGTATTTTCATAGAAAATTATTTTTTCTGTTTTTCCGAACTGAATTTTGGCTTCTATCTTTGAAAAATACCTGGATCTTGCCGAATGGTAAATTTTTTGAAGCATGCACACTTTTTTAGAAAACTGGGTTTGAATTCTCAAAAGTACGTATTTTTATAGAAATTTGGGTTTCTTGTTCAGCCAAGTTGAATTTCAACTCCTTCCTTTGAAAAATAGGAGTGAATTTAACCGAATTGCTGAATCCATCCGTATTTTCATAGAAATTTGGTTTTTTGGTTCTGCCAAATTGCATTTTGGCTCATATTTTTGAAAAATAGGCTATGTTTAAAATCATGAAATATTTTCTATATTTTAGAATCATTAAATGTTTCTCGGACTATGAACTTACATTCTAACATATCGTAAAGTATTCTACGCTTTCTTAATTTGTTTGAAGTAAAGGTAACGAATTATTAAGTACCAGCATTAAACAAAAAAATGTCAAATATCTCTAAAATGTATAACAGAATCTTACAACTTTTTTGAAAATCGAGATTTTTCGAGAAAATATTCCTCGTACCAGAATAATGATAATTATTGATACGATCCAGAACACTTGTCTAGGTTCCAGAGATATGAAAATTTGTCTATGCTTGAAGTTTCTATATTCGAGATCTTTAAAATTGCTTGTTTTAAAATTGACGAATTTGTCCAAGACGTTGAACATTTTTCTCTGCGCCTCAATTATTTTTCAATTTCAAGATTTCCTAATAAATTTCTATGCTCAATCTTGCACATCCCGAAATTCAACCAATTCGCGATCTGAATCTAAATTCAACTTTTTCAACGGTTGGTTTCCAAAAAATCGAGGCAGAAAAATGATTACTGTGTGAGGAAATGGAGGTTACAAATTAACCTATGGATTATCCAATTAATTCTGGTTCTACGAAAACAAATTTATAAGATATTTCAACCGTTTGTTTTATTTAAAAAAAAAATTGCGAAATGCTCATAGTGGTTTAATAATTTATAATATTCATATTTTTTAATATCTTTCTGATCAATAAATGTCACTATTGGTCACTTTTTTTTATTGTTTTAAGGGGGATTTCCGGTTCAATTGACCTAAACTTTGGATTTTTTTTCCAGGGAACTGGTAAGAGTTTGAGACCTGAGTTTTTTGTCAAATCCTTATTCATTCTTGCTCTACAACTGGGAATTTTTTCAAGTCTAAAAATCCAAAAAGGCGTCCAAAATGGCGGCTGCCCGGCGGGTACTTCCCAAAACTGCGAGCAGCCTAGAGGTCGCAAATCGTCACCTAGAAAGAAAATCGGCTCAGTTTCTTGAAGAGTATAGTTCAGAGAATGGAATGAATCTTTGAAAAATCTCAAAATTTGACAAAATGGCGGGCATTTGAAAA